CTATTTTGTGGCTTTTGCGGATATTTTCCCAATTTCCTTGCTCAATAGTGCCACTTGAGGAGCCATTTTTCTGATCTGTATTATGCAAAGCCCAGATGGAACGGAACACCTGTCACTCAGGGGAAAAAATGGGGGAGGCAGATAGTCTATATTAAAGGGGAAGTATACCCTAAAATCAAATTTTCACCAGTTGTAGTCTTCTGGGTCGAATGGTCTTGGTCCGAGGAAGCTGCGACGCTCCCTTCCTACTTGAATTCCAATCGAACTCGCGCACTTCCACCGAAACTGGGTGACTGCGCCCTACTAGATGGGGATTTGTATGCAAAATGTCACTAAAAGCGCCATTTCGTTCTTATAAAAGCACGGATGACCGCGATTGGCCCATATGTTGTAGTCTTTTGGACGCTGAGTCGACTGGTTTTGGTCCGAAAAGGCTGCGATGCAGCGTTCCTCCTTTATTCCCAATCGAACATGGTTGAACAAGCGGTCACGTGCTCCTGGGTGCCCAAATCACCTGGTCACCGCGCCAGCAGGCGAGAACTTTCACACCAAGGTTCAACTCGAGTTCAACTCGAGTGACAGGACTGCACCCAAAAAAGGTCAAACAGGCTAGTAAGTTGTACCCTGCAGGCACGGTGACCAGCTGACTGGTGTACGCAGGAGCACGTGACCGCTTGTTCAACCATGTTCGATTGGGAATAAAGGAGGAACGCTGCATCGCAGCCTTTTCGAACCAAAACCAGTCGACTCAGCGTCCAAAAGACTACAACATATGGGCTAATCGCGGTCATCCGTGCTTTTATAAGAACGAAATGGCGCTTTTAGTGACATTTTGCATACAAATCCCCATCTAGTAGGGCGCAGTCACCCAGTTTCGGTGGAAGTGCGCGAGTTCGATTGGGATTCAAGTAGGAAGGGAGCGTCTCAGCTTCCTCGGACCAAGACCATTCGACTCGGCACCCCGAAGACTACAACTGGTGAAAATTTGATTTTAGGGTATACTTCCCCTTTAACAGCAAAATTAAAAAAATCTTCACTAAAAACTGAAAATAGGGGTAAACCTATCGCCAAATTTTTCAGGATGGTCCACCATTTTATTTGTGACGTCACTGCATACATTAAGATATACATTACACATTGTGATGCTAACCATACATTTGAATAAATTCCACACATCCAGATGCTCACCACACATTCAGATGCTCACCATACATTCAGATACTCACCACACATTCAGATGCCTACCACACATTCAGATGCCTACCACACATTCAGATGCCCACAATGCACTCCAATGCCCACCATACATTCAGATACTCACCATACATTCAGATACTCACCATACATTCAGATGCTTACCACACATTCAGATGCTCACCACACATTCAGATACCCACCACACATTCAGATGCCCACCATACATTCAGATGCCCACCATACATTCAGATGCCCACCACGCATTCAGATGCCCACCACGCATTCAGATGCCCACTACACATTCAGATGCCCACCACACATTCAGATGCCCACCATACATGTACATGTACATGTACATTCACAAACAAGGCCGGTCCAGGAAGCTCGAGGTAGAATGCTCAATGTACGAATGCACAGAGCAGTATACACACACAACAGAGGCGAAAAGCTGTGTTAGCTGCCCTGTTATCGCCTCTATTCCCACCTTTATCCGTTAAAGGGGAAGTATACCCTAAAATCAAATTTTCACCAGTTATAGTCTTCGGGGTGCTGAGTCGAATGGTCTTGGTCCGAGGAAGCTGCGGCGCTCCCTTCCTACTTGAATCCCAATCGAACTCGCGCACTTCCACCGAAACTGGGTGACTGCGCCCTACTAGATGGGGATTTGTATGCAAAATCTCACTAAAAGCGCCATTTCGTTCTTATAAAAGCACGGATGACCGCGAGTGGCCCATATGTTGTAGTCTTTTGGACGCTGAGTCGACTGGTTTTGGTCCGAAAAGGCTGCGATGCAGCGTTCCTCCTTTATTCCCAATCGAACATGGTTGAAGAAGCGGTCACGTGGTCCTGGTTGCCCAAATCACCTGGTAACCGCGCCAGCAGGCGACAACTTTCACACCAAGGTTCAACTCGAGTGACAGGACTGCACCCAAAAAAGGTCAAACAGGCTAGTAAGTTGTACCCTGCAGGCACGGTGACCAGGTGACTGGTGTACGCAGGAGCACGTGACCGCTTGTTCAACCATGTTCGATTGGGAATAAAGGAGGAACGCTGCATCGCAGCCTTTTCGGACCAAAACCAGTCGACTCAGCGTCCAAAAGACTACAACATATGGGCTAATCGCGGTCATCCGTGCTTTTATAAGAACGAAATGGCGCTTTTAGTGACATTTTGCATACAAATCCCCATCTAGTAGGGCGCAGTCACCCAGTTTCGGTGGAAGTGCGCGAGTTCGATTGGGATTCAAGTAGGAAGGGAGCGTCTCAGCTTCCTCGGACCAAGACCATTCGACTCAGCACCCCGAAGACTACAACTGGTGAAAATTTGATTTTAGGGTATACTTCCCCTTTAACTCTCACAAAACAACTCAATACCATTGTCCCAATGCCACGTCTTCACTTCGCACATATGCACTAACTTCCACACTAGCATCAAATATCTAGGCCTGCTCGCAGAGAATTCGATAGTGAATACTGCTGTCTGATGATCGCTCAGATGCATGAAACTTTAAGTTACAGCTAACACAGCCTTTCGCCTCTGTTGTGGTGTACATGTACATTCAGATACCCACCATACATTCAGATGCCCACCACACATTCAGATGCCCACCACACATTCAGATGCCCACCATACATTCAGATGCCCACCATACATTCAGATGCCCACCACACATTCAGATGCCCACCACACATTCAGATACCCACCCCACATTCAGATACCCACCATACATTCAGATGCCCACCACACATTCAGATGCCCACCACACATTCAGATACCCACCACACATTCAGATGCCCACCACACATTCAGATGCCCACCATACATTCAGATACCCACCCCACATTCAGATACCCACCACACATTCAGATGCCCACCACACATTCAGATGCCCACCATACATTCAGATACCCACCATACATTCAGATACCCACCATACATTCAGATGCCCACCACACATTCAGATGCCCACCATACATTCAGATACCCACCCCACATTCAGATACCCACCCCACATTCAGATACCCACCACACATTCAGATGCCCACCACACATTCAGATGCCCACCATACATTCAGATGCCCACCATACATTCAGATACCCACCATACATTCAGATGCCCACCACACATTCAGATACCCACCATACATTCAGATACCCACCATACATTCAGATGCCCACCACACATTCAGATACCCACCATACATTCAGATGCCCAACACACATTCAGATGCCCACCATACATTCAGATGCCCACCATACATTCAGATGCCCACCATACATTCAGATACCCACCATACATTCAGATGCCCACCACACATTCAGATACCCACCATACATTCAGATACCCACCATACATTCAGATGCCCACCACACATTCAGATGCCCAACACACATTCAGATGCCCAACACACATTCAGATGCCCACCACACATTCAGATGCCCACCACACATTCAGATGCCCACCACACATTCAAATGCCCACCATACATTCAGATACCCACCACATATTCAGGTACCCACCACACATTCAGATGCCCACCACACATTCAGATGCCCAACACACATTCAGATGCCCAACACACATTCAGATGCCCACCACACAAATCAATGGGATCAGTGACATTACAGCTGGGTCATGTTATAGAGAGTTACATTGAAATTCAAAGGTCAGCACAAATGGTCAAAATCCCACATTTTCTCACCTTTCTGCCCGTTCGCAGCTAAAAAACAGACAATGACTATCCTCATCTCCTTGTGTAGCTGGACATAGACAAGTGCACCAAGAAAAACAGCCACATTTCTCTAAAGAACTCGCCCAGGGTTGCTGAAAGCTGAAAAATAACCTATCTCACAGTTTGGGGCTTTTTACCCGTGAATCTTCACTTTGCGACTAAACTATTCCCAGCATTGTCAAATTTTCTGGGTCACTGCATGTAGGTGCCAGCGCCCTACAGGCAAACCAAAAATCAAATCAATGCGACCACTGACATTACAGCTGGGTCATGTTATAGAGAGGTACATTGAAATTCAAAGGTCAGCACAAATGGTCAAAATCCGACATTTTCTCACCTTTTTGCCCGTTCGCAGCTCAGAAAATGACAATGACCACCCTCATCTCCTTTTGTAGCTGGACATAGACAAGTGTACCAAGAAAAACAGCCACATTTCTCTAAACAACTCGCCCAGGGCTGCCGAAAGCTGAAAAATAACCTATCTCACAGTTTGGGGCTTTTTACTCGTGAATCTTCACTTTGCAACTAAACTATTCACAGCAGTGTCAAATTTTCTGGGTCACTGCATGTAGGTGCCAGCGCCCTACAGGCAAACCAAAAATCAAATCAATGCGACCACTGACATTACAGCTGGGTCATGTTATAGAGAGGTACATTGAAATTCAAAGGTCAGCACAAATGGTCAAAATCCCACATTTTCTCACCTTTTTGCCCGTTCGCAGCTCAGAAAATGACAATGACCACCCTCATCTCCTTTTGTAGCTGGACATAGACAAGTGTACCAAGAAAAACAGCCACATTTCTCTAAACACCTCGCCCAGGGCTGCCGAAAGCTGAAAAATAACCTATCTCACAGTTTGGGGCTTTTTACTCGTGAATCTTCACTTTGCAACTAAACTATTCACAGCAGTGTCAAATTTTCTGGGTCACTGCATGTGGGTGCCAGCGCCCTACAGGCAAGCCAGAAATCACATCAATGCGACCACTGATATTACAGCTGGGTCATGTTATAGAGAGGTACATTGAAATTCAAAGGTCAGCACGAATGGTCAAAATCCGACATTTTCTCACCTTTCCGCTTTTTCGCAGCTTGGAAACAGACAATGACCATCCTCATCTCCTTGTGTAGCTGGACATAGACAAGTGCACCAAGAAAAACAGCCACATTTCCCTAAAGAACTCGTCCAGGGCTGCTGAAAGCTCAAAAATAACCACTCTCACAGTTTGGGGCTTTTTACCCGTGAATCTTCACTTTGCGACTAAACTATTCACAGCAGTGTCAAATTTTCTGGGTCACTGCATGTAGGTGCCAGCGCCCTACAGGCAAAGCAAAAATCAAATCAATGCGACCACTGACATTACAGCTGGGTCATGTTATAGA